TGGGTTCCATTAAGGTGACAGGGAGTTTCAGCTTTATGAAACAACAGCGATTTGTCCAATTAGAGGACAATTTGTTCTGTTTCGATCGACTTATTCTTTTTTGTGACCAGTATTTTCAGTTTTGGTCATGTAAGTGCATTTTGCAAAAGATATTCAGAGTTATGGCAAGTGTGTTTCTGTTTAGATGGCTATGCTCTTGTTTTGAAGAAATGAATTTAGATTCTAAAAAGTGGGTTTAGCGATTGAGAAAAACTGTAATCCTTGAACCCTTGAATCCTTGAATCCTTGAACCCTTGAATCATTGAACCCTTGAATCCTTGAATCCTTGAACCCTTGAATCCTTGAATCAATGAAACCTTGAATCCTTGAATCCTTTAATCCTTGAACCCTTGAATCCTTGAATCCTTGAACCCTTGAATCATTGAACCCTTGAATCCTTGAATCCTTGAACCCTTGAACCCTTGAATCCTTGAATCCTTGAACCCTTGAATCCTTGAACCCTTGAATCCTTTAATCCTTGAACCCTTGAATCCTTGAATCCGTGAACCCTTGAATCCTTGAATCCTTGAAGCCTTGAATCCTTGAAGTATCTTCCTCGAGACCAAAAACCCAAAAAACTCTTGTCCAATCAACTCTACCCTTTCCATCTCTTTCCTTTGTTCACTTCTCTTCAGATAAGATAAGGTAAGGTACTGTATTAATCCCAATTTGGGAAAACAATGTGTTGCATCAGCATATAACAAAACACATAATAACACATTGAAAGAGTAGAAATAATCAATTCTAAAATAGAAACATCTCAAAATAGAAATAAACCAGCACTCTCCGTCACTCTGTCCACTTTGCTGTATTTTCCTTACTTAGTGATATTTCCCTTCGCTCTACTACTACTCTGCATATATGTGTAAAAATGTGTCTGTTGATTGTGTATATCATGTATATTTTTATATATATTTGTATTTTTGTATTCGGGATTGTGGGAAACACAATTTTCCTCCTCTCTTTACCAACGTAAGCCCTACTTCAGTGTGCTTTAATCTCCTCTCCTTCTCTTGTTTATTTGTCTGTGCTTGTTTTCCTTGTTCTGCTTAGCCTCCTCTAATTTGTGGTGAGGTCTTTGGTCGTGATCGCAGCCATAATGAAAGACAAAGACTTGATACTAGATGCCATTATAACCAGAGTCGCCAATGATGCATTTGTTAAGACTGGGTCTTCGGGGGCGGGGCTCTGATAAGCAAGAAGGGGAACGTAATTACTGTACACAACAATGCATGTTTTTCTGCCTTCTCCTTATGTAACAACAACAATGTCCTGGAATAGATCTGCAAATACTTATCTCAGTATGTATATGTTGTTCCAGAGATGTTAAAGTACACACATCCTTTACTAAAGTAGAAGTACAGATACTCGTGTTTAAAAATACTCTGGTGAAAGTAGAAGTACTGACTAAACTTCTTTACTCAAGTCTAAGTAAAGAGGCTTTGAAATGTGTGTGTGTGTGTGTGTGTGTGTGTGTGTGTGTGTGTGTGTGTGTGTGTGTGTGTGTGTGTGTGTGTGTGTGTGTGTGTGTGTGTGTGTGTGTGTGTGTGTGTGTGTGTGTGTGTGTGTGTGTGAGAGAGAGAGAGAGAGAGTGNTTCCTCATAAACTTAGACCATAGCTACACTAATTGACACTTGATGTGCAAAATATTAACACTTGTTATCAGTCAATCACCCCATTGAAAAAGGTAACTCCATGGGGAGTTACCTTTTTCAATGGGGTGATTGACTGATAACAAGTGTTAATATTTTGCACATCAAGTGTCAATTAGTGTAGCTATGGTCTAAGTTTATGAGGAAGTGTTATCCACTGTGAGAAGATTATTTGTTGTTTTGTAGACATGAGTTACACAACAGATTTTTGATCTTTGTGTAGAGAATTGTAACTTCAGTTAGAGAATTGTGTGATCTGTTTTGCAAAACACTGCTTAGCATCTGCATTTTGTGTGATATCAATGAGAAATGGTATACTGTTGTAGAGAAATGGTTTTCTGTTTCGATGGCTGTGCTGTTGGTTTGATGAAAGGAATTTTGATTCTAAATAGTGGGTTTAGCGATTGAGAAAAACTGTAAAGGATTCAAGGATTCAAGGTTTCATTGATTCAAGGATTCAAGGGTTCAAGGATTCAAGGATTCAAAGGTTGTATTATCATATGCACAGTAGCTACAGTGTAGTTATGGCAATGACAGTCGTAGTCCTGAGCTCCCCCAACAGTTCAGCAGATAAACAAGTTGCTGTAAATCAGAAGAGCAACAGGCTGTGTTCATGCTGCTGTACAAACTGTGTCTTGTACAGGATGTCTTTTGTGTGTGTGTGCGATGTGACAGCAGTGAGGAGAGAGGTTTGGTTTCTGCTGACTGTCAGCATCAAACTGTCACTCTGAGAACCATCTCACATGCAAACAGCGTCACATTTAAGCTCCGATAATCATTCCATCGTTTAATAGCCCTCATGTCCATCTACCAGAGTCTCATTCAATGACACGCACGCACGCACGCACGCACGCACGCACGCACGCACGCACGCACGCACGCACGCACGCACGCACGCACGCACGCACGCACGCACACGCACGCAGTGGGTCAGG